TATATATATATATATATATATATATATATATATACATATATATATATATATATATATATATATATATATATATATATATATACACACACATATATATATATATATATATATATATATATATATATATATATATATATAAATATATATATATAAATATATATATTTATATATACACACACACATGTATATATATATATATGTATAGGTATATATATATATATATATATATATATATATATATATATATATATATATATGTATATATGTATACATGTACATATATATATGTATATATATATATTCATATCTATCTATCTATCTATCTATCTATATATATATATATATATATATATATATATATATATATATATATGTATGTATATATATATATATATATATATATATATATATATATATATATACATATATATATATATATATATATATATATATATATATATATATATATATATGTATATATATATGTATATATATATATATATATATATATATATATATATATATATATATATATATATATATACTAGTATACATACACGTATGTGTATACATATAACTATGTGCATACACACACACACAAACACATACACACACACATACACACACACACACACGCATGCATACATATATACATGCAAAATCTTTTTAAACTTTTGATTAAATAAATTTAAGAAAATAAAGCTTCTTTAGAATGCCTATCTGTGTGGACTACATGACAAGCATCTCTTAAAATCAACTATTTCCGTCTTTGGTGACCAGTCATTAACCTCTTTTCCGAGTTCAGATTCAGGAAAGAAGTTGACAGATCTTTTGCGCGATACAGGAAACGGAATTAAATTAGATGAAAGCGACAGTGATGTTCAAATGATTAAAAGTTTAGTAGGATATGGGTTGATATTATTATCGTAATCATTTTTTTTTTTATATAACAGTATTATATTACTCACTGTAACCACTTAACATAATAATATTAATGATACTTTTACTGATATGGATATCGAATAGTAACTTACTCCTTACAAATCTTAATACTCGGAATACAAGGGACACAACTTGAACTGAGCCTTTATATGCCGGAACCTGGATACTCAAGATTAATTGATTATTTAAAAGGACTAATTTGATTTAATCTGTGCATTCACTTCAACGAGCATCCATCATGGATGTTATTAATGCAAGGGCGTTACTATCAGAATACGAGTTTACAATCATGCAGAGGCATAGTCATGACACCGATCGGGAGCCTCAGTGTATATTATTCTGTATATGTTCAAAGGTATATATGAGTATGTGAACACGTCAATGATAAAGTACATAGAGCTAAAGACAATGTAAGTTAGATAAAATTCTTGTATGTAATTGCTGCATTTGTCATTCATGCCTAATTATTTTATCGAGTAATTGAGATATATATTTTGCATTAATATCAAGACTGATGTGATTCCTTTATTGTATCTGGGGGATGGGGTACTATATCTGCACATTTGAAAATTATTAACTAAAATACTTAAAATCCTGTATACAAGCTAAATAAATCCGTGACAAAGGAATCTGATAATCGCATGATGAGTAAAACTTACGAGAAAAAAAATACGGTAGGAATAAAGATAGTTACACACATATAATTCACAAATATAAATTCTGCTCATCTTGATCATTCTTTTGGTTATAAAATCCGTTCAGAATCGGCTCTTCAAGATGAGGGTCCATAAAGACCACTACTTAAACCTCTTCCGCTACCTGCACTACCACCAAAACCTCCAGCACTAATTCAACTTCCACCAGTACCTCCACTACCACCAAAACCACCAGCAGCAATTTCGTCACCACCAAAACAGCCTGCAAATCCCCCAGCACTACTGGAAATGCTTCCAAAACCATCGGAACCTCTGATGACCTGACCACTTCCTTCAACAACTGCCTGAAGAGCAGTCTGAAGATCCGCTCTAATAGCAAGGGTTGGATTTTCTCCCTCTTCGTAGTTGACGAAATGTACCTACAGAAATTGGTGGAGCAACTGTCACTTCCGCTCCTGTTCAGGACGTAAACAATGTTTTCCTATTTTGGTGGTGGAACAATGATACATTCGGCTCCTGGACCTTCTTTAGGAATGCACGCGAACAGGATATTGTGATTATCTCTCGGCAGCGGAATACTTGGTGGTGGTCCGCTTGAGGCTGTTCGGGAGCATCATAAACGAACACGAGGCTCCCCCGGAACCTCCGCCCCCATAACCTTGTCCAGATGAAGAACCTCGACACTTGAAAATCCATTTCTTCCACTGCTTGAAATTCCACCTCAGCCACCTGAAAATCCATTTCCTCCCGTGAATCCTCCGCCTCCACCTTGAGCGCTATGGGAAAATCCTCCTCTGCAGGGCGCTGCTAGATTATAGCCTTGAAGGAAAGCAACAGATGTAGCGACTACTGCCTATTTTAGGTAAGAAAATAAAACCGAAAATTAATACATTGTTATGTGATGTAATCCATTAGGATATAAATCTAGAGGAATGAATACAATATGTCTCTGTTTATATAAGTGTTGACTTTTATTTATCAAATATAGGCATGGAATCTGCATTGCAAAAAGAAAGAAAGAAAACAAAAACATTCAACACATCTAAACACACATCTAAATGAAGTGCGCATTACCAGATACCAAACATAGATTGTGTAGCGGGAAACAGAATGATTAAGTGACGGGTTAACTACACAAGACAATGAGTGATAAAATAACAACAAAACAATGATAATGGTTGAATGAAAGTAAGTGAACTATGTATGCACAGTACGTAACTTCCTAATAGTCTCGTTTGGTGCCTTCTTATACCTTCTCAGTGATTCGTTGTCCCAAAGTTTGGCACTTTTCAACCCGAAACTATAAATTTAAACAAAACTTATAAAAGTATTTTCTAACAGGATTGCACTAAATGGTTCATAGAACAAAGAGATGCTTACAAGGGAGACTCTCTTCCATAATGGAGTGTGCTGCATGACCAACAGAGGCAAGCGAGGAAGTCATGAGGCGGATGGTGAGTAAAGTAACTAGAGGAAAAAAAAATATCGTTATTAAGAATTATTGGTATATTTTCGAGATAAGAAAATCTGTAATGACATCCACCAGTACCATCACGATCATTACAATCATCATTATCGTTCCCAGTGTTATTGCAAAAATCCTGTGCATATAACTATCAGTTATTGTTATTCCTTTAGCATAACGGAATAAGATTTAAATATTTTGTTATCTTTATTACCATTGATATACACTCGGAAGCTGTTAGAATGATTTTATTAAGAGTAATGGTAATCATAACACATTTAAAAAAGACCTGCATAATAATTAAAATAATCATAATCATGAAATGATAAAATTGCAACTTAATTATATGTATATATATATATATATATATATATATATATATATATATATATATATACGTATATATATATATATACACACACACACACACACACACACACATATATGTATATATATATATATATATATATATATATATATATATATATATACACGCACACACAAATATATATATATATATATATATATATATATATATATATATATATATACACGCACACACAAATATATATATATATATATATATATATATATATATATATATATATATATATATATATTCATGTATATATATATATATATATATATATATTTATATATATATATATATATATATATATATATATATATATATATATATATATATGTGTGTGTGTGTGTGTGTGTATCCGTATATAAATGTATTCTAATGAGATTATTATCATTATTCATTTATTTTTGCAACATACCTGCGATATAATTTGTTTCTTGTCAATAAACAAGGAATTCATCTTGACAACAGATAGTCTTCCGTTGATTTTCGTGTATCAATTAAATAACTTCATTAAACAGATTATAAAAAAGTAAACCCTCTTCAGAATGCCTATCTATTCATTACATGACAAGCAACTCTGATTGGCAGCATCTTCCGGCTTTAGTGACTAGTCATCTTAACCTCCTTCCTGCAACACAGACGTCCTGGATTTGAAGGTAAAGAAGACTGACTTGTTTGGCAAAACAGGGAATGGAATAAAATGAGATGAAACCGATACTGATATACAAATAAGCAAAATCTGCGACATGATTTACGCTAATACTATTATCATAATCGATGTTCCATCATAACTTACTGTAGGGTAATGGTTCTCAGAATTTTAAGTATTGTTACACAAATGAGTGTTGTGACAGACCTATTATGTAAGATTTTTTCTTCTCAAGAAATAAAGATTTACCCGATACAGCACCAATAATAGAACTACAAATCGCAAACTTGTGTTTATTTTATTTTTGTTCATAAATGAACATATACATTATTGCTACATTATTAATAGGAAACACTGTATTGTCTATCCTTTGGTAAAATATCAGTGACTGGGTCGAAAAAATATAGTGCACAACGCATATCAGCTTCTGCTGATATGCGGGGCACTGTTTTAGCATCAGAATGGGGCCTCGGCGATAAAGTACGTGTGCACTCATAACCAGCATGAAAAAATGCTTTTGTTTAGTTTTATAAAAGTATGTGTTTATTATGAATTACAGAGGGCAGTAGTGTATATATAGGTATGTATATGTGTTACAATATGTAAGTTTACTTTTCTTTTTTTTATGTATGAATATTAAGATATGCACAAAACCGTATGCTGAAAAAAATATGATGGTATGAATATATTTTGCGGGTATCAATAGCAATAACATCACGAATAATGATACTTATATACATATTCAATTCGTTAAAAGCAGTATTATGCTATTATTTTTCCTATAGGAACCTTTAAAGAAGTAAAAATGATGTATTCATTTTATTTATCATTACAGAAACAAGCAACAGCAAACAAAACGAATGAAAATTGGATGAAATAAACATGGTCCATCTGTTTTTTGGTATAAAACTCCATTTAAGATGGAGGACCATACAGGCCACTGCCTGAACCCCTTCCGCTACCTGCGCTACCACCAAAACCACCAGCACCACTTCCGCTAGCACCAAATCCTCCAGCACCACCGGAACCGCCTCCAAATCCTCCAGCACCACCGGAACCGCCACCAAATCCTCCTGCACCACCGGAACCGCCTCCAAATCCTCCAGCACCACCGGAACCGCCTCCAAAACCTCCAGCACCACCGGAACCGCCTCCAAATCCTCCAGCACCACCGGAACCGCCACCAAATCCTCCTGCACCACCGGAACTACCTCCAAAACCACTACCGATTCCTCCTCCAGCACCATCGGAACCTCCAATGACCTGACCACCTGCAGCAGCAGCTGCCCGGAGAGCAGTCTGAAGATCCACTCCAATAGGAAGGGTTGGATTTTCTCCCTCTTCGTAGTTGACGAAATACACCTCAGGATTTGAAGGAGGAGCAGCTGTTACCTCGATCACGCGTTGTCCTCCGTCCCCTCCGCTCTTGTTCAGGACGTAAACAATGTTTTCCTGTTTTGGTGGTGGAACAATGATAGGTTCGGGTCCTGGACCTTCTTCAGGAATGCGTACGAACAGGATGTTGTGATCAACCCTCGGCGGCGGAATACTTGGTGGTGGTCCGCTTTCCCCTTGAGGCTGTTCGGGAGCATCATAAACGAACACATTTCTTGTAACGATGGGAACGACGCACGATCCATCTACG